ATGGTGTCATATAAATCCAAAATAGTGAATGAATGAGAGTCCTATAGAAGGGTGTGATATAAATTCAAAATAGTGAATGGATGAGAGTCCTATAGAAGGGTGTCACATTGGTCCAGAGAGGTCTTCTCCACCACTTGGAGTAATATACGAATCTCCCACTCACAGAAGGTGTTGACCCCCATAACACAGAGTAGAGATCATAGATGGTATTGCGGTATAAAGATGCTGGCCATATTTCAATCCATTGTCCCACATCGAGTAGTAGTTGCCCCTTATTTCCAGGAGTATGGGAAATGGTAGACTTATCAGTCCATTATATAGTCCATCATTGATCCGGACATGGCCAATGACCCCACCTGACCGGTTTCGCGGGACACCCCCCTCCCCCCGGGCTGCATCAGAGGGGCAACTACTACTCTATGTTGAACAATGGATTGAAATATGGCCAGCATCTTTATACCGAACTACCATCTTTGATCTCTACTCTGTGATGGAGGCAACTCACACGCGGGAGATTTATTTGCTGTTGACGCTTGCATTGGTGGCTCTTCATTGAGAATCTGCAATCAATATTTCAAGCAGCTACTTGAGTGCGGTAGGTTCACAGTTATGTGTGTTTGGGCTGATATACATCTATAGAGGGCCATTACAATCACTTTCCTCCTCTGGACCACATCCAGCTGTCCCCTCCTTGGCTTGGATGCCTCATGGACATATACAGGTGAAACTCGAAAAATTATTAGTTTCACCTTTTAAGTTGCATTACTGAAATATGTGAACTTTTGCATGATATTCTAATTTTACGAGTTTCACCTGTAGATTCATTCAAGAGCACTCAAGCACAATATATCCAGCAAAATTACTAGCCGGGTCATCTTCAAGTGCAAAATACATCAGTACTTCTTTGTCTTGTCTTGGCTGCAGTATCAGGCTTGGAGTCTAAATATTCAACACATTTTAGATATAGCCTGAATAATGGACTGTGGGGGGGACATCTATTCAGCAGCTGCATTTTTGATTGAGTGTCACTTTCTCCTTTTTGCGAACTCTCTATGCCTGTCCCTTCCGCTCTGACAGCTCTCAGTCTAATTGATTTAACAGGAATATTGAGTATTCATATGGGCCATCAGATTGATAGATGTGACCTTTGACCCATACATGCTTTAACATGGTTCTATGTATATGTGTATTGTGGCTGGGGTGTTCATTAATAAAACGTATTAGCGCAGCCAATGGTATCTGTCAGTATTTCATTTTCAATATTTAACCTTGATACTTGTTGAGATAAAACCATTTTTTGATGTAAGAAATGTTTTGTTACAATGTGGAGGTAGTATATATCTCTAAGGATCGCTGTCGTGCGTTCCAAGCCTCGTGTTGACAGGCCGGACGTGACGTCATGCAGGACCTGGAAGTGACGGCATCACACTTCAGCGTACGTGTCACCTGGCGGTGTCTTCAGGAAGTGACCAGCATGAAGGAGACCAGCATAGCAAAAAAATGTGCATTTATTATTTTTTGTTAACAGGTGAACTTATCTTTTAAGTCCTTTGGAACTCTCCACACCAATGCGCTGTGGGCATGGTGTGTTTTTTAAAATATCTGCATGCTGCATTTTTGGTGTATCTTTAACCCCTTCATACCGACCTCACACAAATATGCGGCCTCACAGAACTGGGCTTTTTTTTGTGCGGCCGTATTTTTGCATACTTGTCTTTCTGCTGGGAGCTCGCCGCACAGCACACTCCCAGATCAAAGACCAGGGTGCCACTGAGAGCTCCGGGTCCCGATCTTTAGGGACTCCCGATTTCAGGTCACATGATCGCTATGATAGCCTCTGATTGGCTATCACAGTGATCAGTCATTATATAGACGCACCCCCCTTGTTTTTTTTTTTGTCTCTCTATGAATGGAGGAGAGAGATACATTGTATGATAGAGATACATTGTATCTCTCTAAATCCTGGCATAGAGGGGAAAAAAATGTTTGTTTTAAAAAAAAGATAAATATTAAAAAATAGAATAAAACATAAAGAAAAAATACCTAGATCAAGGTTGGATCTAGTTCAGTGCCAGGGTAAATGTTTGGGTCAAGGTCAACATCAAAGTCAAAAGGTCAGGGTCAAAGGTCAGGATTCATTTTTTTTAAAATTGGTGTCAGTGTGTTTTAGGTAAAAAAAAAACAACAACAAAATGTGCACTATTGTTTCTGGGCTGTACTACGGGTACAAACAAACAAATAACACACACATACATGGTATGTGCGATCATCAAGAGCTGGAGAATTTATTTTGGGTTGTTCTTTGGTGGTACGTTAAGGTAGCAACAAGAAACACACAGCTAGACAAAAAAGAAATTTTTTTTTTTTACTATTTTGGGCCAGTTTTCCTTTGATAATAATAAAAAAAAATCAGGAGATATTCATTACCATGTAATACCAAATGAAAGCCCAATTTGTCCTGAAAAAAATGTGGTATAATTCACCTGGATGTACAAAGTAGGCATTAAGATTTGTTTTACCCTTGGGCATGAAGGGGTTAAACAGCGCACCAAAAACAAACCTCCCTATTGAAATGAATGTAAAACACACAGATTGTGCTTTTTGAGTCACATGTCCATGATTGGAGTCAGGCAACCAGAAAAGCTATCAAAAAGCATATGCATTTTTACTGCATCTCTTCAACAGAGCAGTGTGAAAGGGCCCTGGTACATGTAGCATATTTGATGTGTCCTGTTATGTGCTAGATTTTTATATTTTAAATTATTATGTTCCATATTTTTTTATTTAACCACATCCCAACCGCCCTATAGCATATATACTGCTACGGGATGGCAGGGGTGCGCAAAATCATGTATATATATACGTGATTTTGTATTTCCAGGTAAGAAGGCGAGCAAGCTGCATGCGCCCTACCCTCGCCGCAGCTGTCAATCACCGGGTCCCGACTGGTGATTATCTGCTGGCGCCGGTGATTACCGAGGATCTCCAATTGGGAGGAAGGCTGCTTTGTTTACTAACAGTCCTCCTCCCTGTTGGCTTGGGCACACTGCTCTGGATGGCTGTGCTGTGCGCAGTGATCCAGAGCCCTGTGATTACAGTGAAGCACACCCCCTCCCCCTAGTAACACACTCCCAGCACACAGTTAACCCTTTGATCGCCCCTCATGTTAACCCCTTTTGCCCAGTGCCATTAGTGCTTTTTATTAGCACTGATCACTGTGTTGGTGTCACTGGGATCTCAATGACATCAAGTCACTTCCCCCCCAGTGTCATAATGCCCGCCGCAGTCCTGCTATAAGTCGCTGATTGCCGCCATTACTAGTGAAAAAAAAAAATTCCAGTATCTATACCGCCATTTGTAAACGCTATAACTTTCATGTAAACCAATTAATTTACATGTATTGGGATTTGTTTTTAGCGAAGACATGTCGCAGAATACATTTTGACCTAAATTTATGATGAAATTTGATTTTTTACTGGACATGTTTAATAGCAAAAAGTCAAAAATATTGTTGTTTTCTCAAAATTGTCAGACTTTTTTTTTTATAGCGCAAAAAAAAAATAAAAAATGCAGAGGTGATCAAATACTACCGAAAGAAAGCCCATATTCGTGGGAAGAAAAGGACGTAAATTTAGGGTTACCTGACCACAAAATTGTCAGTTAAAAAGTAACAAATCGCTGTAATGCAAAAAATGGTCTGATCAATAAGGGGGGTAAATCCTCTCGAGGGCGAGCAGTTAAATTGTTATGTTCCATATTTTTATACTTTGTATCAGTTTATGTTCCATATTTTTATACTTTTCAGTTTTATACTTTGTATCAGTTTATGTTCCATATTTTTGGTTTCTTGCTTTGCTTCTTCTTTAAAAAAAAAAACAAACAAAACCCAAAGTCAAATTGCTGGGAAAACAAATCATTAAACAGCAGACACTTCTAATATCTCAGCCAATGGGATGGTTCCATATTCCTGGGCTCTGCCCACAGAAGAACCTGGAAGACAGACTGTGATACATTGTATCCAGGGGCAGACTGACAACTCATGGGCCCCCCGGGCATTAGGGGATCATGGGGCCCCTGTGTCCTTGCCCAAACTCAAAAAAGCCTATGAAAAAGGTACCAGGGGCATTTCATGGGGCCCCCTACTGACCTCGGGCAGTGCCCGAGTTTCCAAATGGTCATTTCGCCCCTGATTGTATCCTCATTGAAGCGATCACTTCAATGCAAGCAATGTATTGGATAATGGCCCCCACACATGTATAGAATATCGGCTGAAAATTTTCACTTTTGAAAAGATTGTTCGACATTCATGCCGTTAGTGGACTCCAAAAGTAGGCCCAGCTAATGTCCATGGATCCAAAGAGAAAACTTTCATCGTTGCAACCAAAGTGTATACGTTTATGTGTTAATTGAAATGAAAAATCCCGTCTAGTATTGGCCATGTCCTTTGGTGAGCCAGAAGAAGAATCTTTGAACAAATTTTATTCTATGTGTTTAAAGGACAAGTCGTTGTCGTGAGACGAATAGTCATTCGCACTGCAAGCGGCCAATATTCTATACATCTATAGCTAGGCCTAAGGCTGGCCATACATTATACAATTTTTTTTAGAATTTTGCTTTAGATTTACCAAAAACCATATAATATGAGGTCAAACCTAAATAACACTTTCAATTGTATCCAATCAGGCAGGCCCTCGCACTACATAGTTGAAGGTAAATCTAAAGGGAATTGGACAGAAAATTGTATAGTGTATGGCCAGCCTAAGGATGACACAACAGTGACAGGTCCAGAATCGATCGAACTATAAATGATCAGAATTTTAGCAGCACCACCAATCGGGTGATTTCCATATCTGAATACAAGATCCTACAGAATCCCTCCACTTTCTAGCAGCGGCCGATAATTGGCAGATTGTAAGAGCAGAACAATCAGATGGACACATACATGGCATCCCTCCCGAGGACCGTCCCCGGAAATCAGGAAGAATAACCCGTGTACTCACCGGCTGGGAGCAGCCGTCCCCCTGGGCGATCTGTCGCAGCCCCTCGGCACCAATGAGCAGCATAGACAGAGCGATGAGAGCCCGGCGGAGGGGCGCGGAGCCCCCCATACTGGACTGGTGACAACACAGCGCACACCCGGCCCACTTCCTGCTATACTCACTTGGCTACTATGCAAATGAGCCGCGCAGACCACACCAGCCAATCACAGAGCTGGCCAGGCCAGGTGAGGGCGGACAATTCCAGGAACTCAGCGCAGGGGGAATCCCAGGTATGCAAATGAGGGGCGGGGCCAGAGCTGCACACTGAGGCGAGTGTCATTTTCTGGACTGGTAGGAGGATGGAGGACTACAAGTCCCAGCATGAGTACATGGCATAGTGATCAATCACTGTTCCCGAACTACAGCCGCACCATGTATAGAGAAAGAAACTGCTGTATGTCACTTACTGTGACGTCATGAGTTGGTCCTTGAAGTCCTGGCCTGTTTGCTGTGTCCTGTAGTTGTGGAAACCACTGCTATGTGACGTCATCATCTTCCCTGTAACATCATGGTATTATCAGCCTGGGGATGTATGTTCTGTGACGTCATCATGCTCGATGTGTCTTTATGATCACCCTGAAACACCTCCCTGTCCCACTTCCAGATAGACTCCTACAGGGCTGGACAACAATGGAAGCACCACATGATCTGCAGGTGTGATAGTGACCACATGTTCCACATTGTAAGCGGAAATGACGTTACCTTCTTTTGCTTGCGCTGTGTGATGAGACACCTAGCTAACAGGTGGGAATCGTGCAGAGCTTCAAAGAAGGCAAAAAGTTGGAGCCGCTTAGCTGGCGCCTTTTGTGACTGAAGTTGACGATTTATTTGGTGTGTCGTGAAGTACAGGATCATGATGGCAGATAGTTTTCGGGAAAACGTCATCTGATCAGCATAAGCGCGGTCAACAGACAGAGACAAAAGGACATTGCGCAGGACTGTGACCCCGAATAAGAGAACAACTGCTGCAAACGTGGCTGCAGAGCTTAGTCTGAGTCTTCACAGGGCTGAGTCTTCACGGGACTGAGTCTTCACAAGACTGAGTCTTCACAAGACTGAGTCTTCACGGGAATGAGTCTTCACGGGACTGAGTCTTCACGGGACTGAGTCTTCACGGGAATGAGTCTTCACGGGACTGAGTCTTCACGGGACTGAGTCTTCACGGGACTGAGTCTTTTACGGGACTGAGTCTTCACTGGAATGAGTCTTCACGGGACTGAGTCTTCACGGGAATGAGTCTTCACGGGACTGAGTCTTCACGGGACTGAGTCTTCACGGGACTGAGTCTTTTACGGGACTGAGTCTTCACTGGAATGAGTCTTCACGGGACTGAGTCTTCACTGGAATGAGTCTTCACTGGAATGAGTCTTCACAGGACTGAGTCTTCACAGGACTGAGTCTTCACAGGAATGAGTCTTCATGGGACTGAGATTGAGCTCTGCAGTCACTTTTGCAGCAGTTGTTCACTTATTCCGGGTCACAGTCCTGCGCAATGTCCTTTTGTCTCTTTCGGTCACTTGCCCATGTTGACCACGCTTATGCTCATCAGACGACATTTTCCCAGAAACTGTATATGGGTCATCACCTTTGATATTGTACCTCACAACACGGTATATAAATTGGCAACTTCAGTCACAGAGGCGCCAGCTAAGCCTCTCCAACAATTTGCCTTCTTTGAAGCTCAGTAAGCGCTGACATGACTCCATATATATATGTACATGTAAAACCCTCTACGTTAGTTGGGTCTGTTGTTTTTTTAGTTAGAGGCTGAGGGCTGAGTAACAGTTGGGGAGTGAGGCAGGAGGTCACCTCAGGGCAGGCTGGGAGGTTCTATAGGTCAGGGCTTCTGGAGCCCTCCCATCTTTCCAGAAACTGGAAAACTTTCTGGAAGAGGGGTGGAGGAGGGGTTGAGGCCCAGATCTGTATGTTTGAGGAACCTTGACCAGTCCCTTGACAGAGCCTGGGGAGCAAGGAGAATTGGGTGGAAGATGGAATGAGAGGAAGGCTGGAGTGTGGAGCCTGGGAGGGGACCTCAGGGAGGGGAGTCTACCTACAGGCTGGTTGCTGGACAGGAGGATCTCCACTGCCTAAACTCTCCTAGGGAGGACATCCTGAGCAACAGGGAGGAACCAGCCCAGCGAAATTCCTGAAAGCAGCTACCAACTGACCACGCTGAGCCTGCAGTCAGCTGGAGTGAGGAGGAGGCGGCACAGCATCTGCGGGAGCTGGTCATGAAAGGTGGACCATCATAGGAGGAGCATATACCGTGAGGCTGGACGCCGTTGGACCTACCGGTGAGCTGGATGTGACCCCAGAGCGTGTGCTGACATCCCCTGAGTGCTTATCCTAGTGACCGGATGCTGTCCGCAGTGTGAACCTGGTTCCTCCTTCCATTGATGACACACCTGAGTATATACATACAACGCTCAGTTTGTATGCCCTTGTGGTAAGTGCATAATTGTGTTGGTATCTTCAGGATTGCACGCTGATGTTATTTTGTTATGAACATTTTTTCCTACAAGTCTACATGGTTTAATTACCATACTGGGAACTTGGACAGGCTATTAGCATCATCATTTTGTTCCTATAGAACAGTGATGGCGAACCTTTTTGAGCCCGAGTGCCCAAACTGCAACCCAAAACCAACTTATTTCTTTCAAAGTGCCAACACTGCAATGAAACCTGAATATTGAGCTTTTGGTTTAGAAAAAAACAACTCGTACAGTAGTGCAAACTAATTAACAGTACAGGGATGACCAGAGACTGCAGACACAGTACAGGGATGACCAGAGACTGCAGACACAGTACAGGGATGACCAGAGACTGCGGACACAGTACAGGGATGACCAGAGACTGCGGACACAGTACAGGGATGACCAGAGACTGCAGACACAGTACAGGGATGACCAGAGACTGCGGGACAGTACAGGGATGACCAGAGACTGCGGACACAGTACAGGGATGACCAGACTGCGGACACAGTACAGGGATGACCAGAGACTGTACGGACACAGTACAGGGATGACCAGAGACTGCGGACACAGTACAGGGATGACCAGAGACTGCGGTACAGGAGATACAGGGACTGACCAGAGACTGCGGACAGTACAGGGATGACCAGAGACTGCGGACAGTACAGGGATGACCAGAGACTGCGGACACAGTACAGGGATGACCAGAGACTGCGGACAGTACAGGGATGACCAGAGACTGCGGACAGTACAGGGATGACCAGAGACTGCGGACACAGTACAGGGATGACCAGAGACTGCGGACACAGTACAGGAGATGACCAGAGACTGCGGACAGTACAGGGATGACCAGAGACTGCGGACACAGTACAGGGATGACCAGAGACTGCGGACAGTACAGGAGATGACCAGAGACTGCGGACACAGTACAGGAGATGACCAGAGACTGCGAACAGTACAGGAGATGACCAGAGACTGCGGACAGTACAGGAGATGACCAGAGACTGCGGACAGTACAGGGATGACCAGAGACTGCGGATACAGTACAGGGATGACCAGAGACTGCGGACAGTACAGGGATGACCAGAGACTGCGGACACAGTACAGGAGATGACCAGAGACTGCGGACACAGTACAGGGATGACCAGAGACTGCGGACACAGTACAGGGATGACCAGAGACTGCGGACACAGTACAGGGATGACCAGAGACTGCTGACACAGTACAGGGATGAGCAGAGACTGCGGACACAGTACAGGAGATGACCAGAGACTGTGGACACAGTACAGGGATGACCAGAGACTGCGGACACAGTACAGGAGATGACCAGAGACTGCAGACAGCACAGGGATGACCAGAGACTGCGGACACAGTACAGGGATGACCAGAGACTGCGGACAGCACAGGGATGACCAGAGACTGCGGACAGTACAGGAGATGACCAGAGACTGCGAACAGTACAGGGGATGACCAGAGACTGCGGACAGCACAGGGATGACCAGAGACTGCGGACAGCACAGGGATGACCAGAGACTGCGGACAGTACAGAGATGACTGCTGACCTTTGGGGAGGGAGGGGGAGCGGGTACCTGAATTTGACAGGTACCCGCTCTTAATTCCGCAGAGTTTTTTTTTTATCTTACCTGTTCCTTTATCCAGCCGCGCGCTGTCTTCCCGGCTTCTGTAGTGTGGGCGCTCGTCGGACAGCTGGATGCCCAGTGCGCATGCGCGAGAAGCGCTGCGCTTTGTGATTGGTCTGGTGGCTTCTGGGATCTGTCATGTGTCCCAGGTACCGCCTTACCATTCACAAAGAGCACTGCTTCTTGTGCATGCGCACTTGGGACCCGGCTGTCACGCACACTACAGCCGGGAAGACAGCACACCGCTGGATTCTCCTGGCGTGCCCACAGATAAGGCTCGGCGTGCCGGCTGTGGCACGCGTGCCACGGGTTCGCCATCACTGCTATAGAACCATTGGGAACAGTGTTTTCTTTATAGCATCTGTTTAGCGCTGCATACCTTGTTTGTGTGTTTTTCTGACCACGCTGACAGCCCAGGACAGTGTGAGTTCTCCTACATCCCCTGCGGCAGATAAGGGAAGAGGGCGGTCAGGTGCCATATCCAACTAGTCCTCATCCAGGACTGCTTTTCATGCTTCTGGGACCTCTTCCTCAGGGATGCCCTCAGTACAGCTGATTGGAGAGGAGGATTCATCCGGCATCTGAGGAGATACACCAAAAAAAGGGACTACAGCACTCCGAAAAAGGATCAGTGCTCTGTTTTTGCTAGTCCAAATTTTTGTATATAGGTCCATAGGAAATTCATTCTTAAGTTCTACAGTTTCTCAGGCATCCCATTCACCGCTAGACCCCATCCAAGTTGGTAACTCCTTAATAAAAACAACTAAAAACCAGCTTAAGGACTGTTTACTGACTCTGATGGTACAAGTGTAGAAAATGCAAGTTGCCTGGTTGTGCAGAGCATAGGGGGACCCAAACCTAATCCAGTGGCCCTTACAAGGGTAGTACTACTTACACACTATATTGCCAAAAGTATTGGGACGCCTGCCTTTACACGCACATGAACTTTAATGGCATCCCAGATTTAGTATGCCAGACGAGAAGGCCTGGCTCACAGTCTCCGCTCTAATTCATCCCAAAGGTGTTCTATCAGATAGAGGTCAGGACTCTGTGAAGGCCAGTCAAGTTCCTCCACCCCAAACTCGCTCATCCATGTCTTTATGGACCTTGCTTTGTGCACTGGTGTGCAGTCATGTTGGAACAGGAAGGGGCCATCCCCAAACTCTTCCCACAAAGTTGGGAGCATGAAATTGTCCAAAATGTCTTGGTATGCTGACACCTTAAGATTTCCCTTCACTGGAACTAAGGGGCCAAGCCCAACCCCTGAAAAACAATCCCACATCATAATCCCCCCTCCACCAAACTTTACACTTGGCACAATACAGTCAGGCAAGTACCGTTCTCCTGGCAACTGTCAAACCCAGACACATCCATCCGATTGCCAGACAGAGAAGCGTGATTCGTCACTTCAGAGAACGTCTCCACTGCTCTAGAGTCCAGTGGCGGCGTTCTTTACACTATCTGATGCTGTGCATTGCACTTGGTGATGTAAGGCTTGGTTGCAGCTGCTCGGCCATGGAAACCCATTCCATGAAGCTTTCTATGTACTGTTGTTGTGCTAATCTGAAGTCCAGATGAAGTTTGGAGGTCTTTAGCTATTGACTCTGTGGACAGTTGGCGACTTCTGCGCACTGTGCGCTTCAATATGCGCTGACCCTGCTCTGTCATATTACGTGGCCTACCACTTGGTGGCTGAGTCGCTGTTGTTCCCAGTTACACCACCAGCAGTAGTCTGAACCGTTGATACAAGGCATGATGGATCCATGCTTTTATTTTGTTTACATCAAATTCTGACCCTACCATCTGAATGTCGCAGCAACCAGTCTGCCCATTCTCCTCTGACCTCAACAAGGCACTTTTTCGTCCACACAACTGCCCTCACTGGATATTTTCTCTTTTTCTGACTATTCTCTGTAAACCCCAGAGAGTGTGTGAAAATCCCAGTAGATCATCCTTTTTGTACATACTCAGACCAACCCGTCTGGCACAAACAACCATGCCACGTTCAAAGTCACTTAAATACCCTTTCTTCTCCAATTCTGATGCTCAGTTTGAGCTTCAGCAAGTCGTCTTCACCACGTTTAGATGCCTAAATGCATTGAGTGGCTGCCATGTGATTGGCTGATTAGCAATTTGTGTTACCAAGCAATTGAACAGGTGTACCTAATAAGTGTATAGTGAGTGTATAGTTACATAGTGGTTGAAAAAAGACACATGTCCATACAGTTCAATCAATAGCAATGGAGAAAAATATATACAATCATATACAATGGTTATAGAAAAGAATCACCCCCCCCCCCTTAAAATAATCACATTTTGTTGCTCTGCATCCTGAAATGAAGACAGACACAGTTTTTGTTTTATCCAGCTGTATTTACACAGTGAAACTTATACCATTCAGGTGAAAGATATAACACCAACATGACAGAAAAAAATTCAAAATATTCAAAAACAGAATCACTGAGCTGGAAAAAGGATCACCCCCTTGTGTCAGTATTTTGTTGAACCACTTTTTGCTTTAATTCCAGCCTTTAGTCTGTTGGGATTTGTCTCCACTAACTTTGCACATCTAGACTTTGCAATATTTGCCCACTCGTCTTTGCACAAATGCTCAAGCTCAGTTACATTTGATGGTGACTGTGACCTGCAGTCTTCAAGTCATTCCACAGATTTTCAATGGGGTTTAAGTCTGGGCTCTGACTAGGCCATGCAAGGACATTCACCTTTTTCTCCTTCAACCATTGTGTGGTCATTTTTGCTGTGTGCTTTGGGTCATTTTCATGTTGGAAGGTAAACCTTCTTCCCATTGACAATTTTCTGGCAGAGAGCAGCAGATTTTCCTCAAGAATTTGATGGTATTTTGCCCCATCCATTTTCCTTCTATCCTGACAAGTGCTCCAGTCCCTGCTGTAGACGAACCCCCCACAATGGGATATTCCCACCTCCATGCTTAACTGCAGGAATGGTGTTATTTGGAAGATAAGCTGTATTGGATTTCCATCTGACATTTCGTTTAGTGTTGAGGCCAAATAATTACATTATAGTCTCATCTGACCATAACACCTTTTTCCATGTGACCTTAGAATCTTCAAGGTGCATTTTGGCAAAGCTCAGTCATGACTGCATGTGGCCCTTCTTGAGGAGTGCCTTTTTTCTTGCAACGCTCCCATACAAGCCCCAGTGGTGGAGAATTTGTGATATTGCTGTCACATGCACACAATGACCTCTCTTTGTCATAAATTCCTGCTACTGCTTCAGAGTTGCTGTAGGTCTCCTGGTAGCCTCTCTGACCAATTTCCTTCTGGTTCTTTCATTCAGTTTGGAGCGAGGTCCTGGTCCAGGGAGGGTCTGTGTTGTACCAAATACTTCCTACTTCATAATTATAGACTTCACTGTGCTTCTAGGCATGGATACAGCCTTTGAAATGTTTTGTTTCTATCTTCTGACTGTCCACAACTTTATCCTGGAGATCTTTTGACAGTGCCTTGCCATCCATAGTTGATTGTTTGCTTCAATTGCACTACCGGGGACTGACATGCTCCAGGAAAGCTCTTTTCATACTCAGCTAATCAAAATGACCACAGCTGATCACATTTGAAAGTCAAATGGCTTTGTGTGCCTTTGAGGTGATTGGCTACACCTGAGTGAGTTTACAAGTCATTTTTTTGGAGAGGGAGGGTCCTTTATCCAACTCATTGATTCTGTTTTGTAATTTTTAAACATTTTTTGCTGATATGTTGGTGTTCTATCTTTCTCTTTAATGCTATAAGTTGCATTGAGTAAATACAGCTGGATAAAACATAAATTGTGTCTGTCTTCATTTCAGGCTGCCAAGCAAGAAAATGTAATTATTTTAAAGGGGGTGATTCTTTTCTATACCCACTGTATACACAGTCCTATACCCACAGTTGATCCAGAGCAAGGCAAAAAAAAAAACAATAAAGCATTATCTAATTAACCCTTTGATGTCATTTCTGCCCTGTAACCCTTCATATCGTGCTGTGATGTCATATTCTGCACTGTAAATCTTTGTACTGCCCTTTAATTTCTGCCCTCTAACACTAAATACTGCCAGGCTTGCAGTTGTGCCATACTCTTTCCATTTTCAGATGATGGATTGAACAGTGCTCCGTGAGATGTTCAAAGCTTGGGATTTTTTTTATAATCTAACCCTGTTTTAAACTTCTCCACAACTTTATCCCTGACCTGTCTGGTGTGTTCCTTGGCCTTCATGATGCTGTTTGTTCACTAATGTTCTTTAACAAACCTCTGGACTTCACAGAACAGCTGTATTTATACTGACATTAAATTACACACAGGTGGACTCTATTTACTAATTATGCGACTTCTGAAGGCAATTGGTTCCACTAGATTTTAGTTAGGGTATCAGAGTAAAGGGGGCTAAACACAAATGCACACCACACTTTTCAGATATTTATTTGTAAACAATTTTGTAAACCATTTATAATTTTCCTTCCACTTCACAATTATGTGTCACTTTGTGTTGGTCTATCACATAAAATCCCAATAAAATACATTTACGTTTTTGGCTGTAACATGACAAAATGTGGAAAATTTCAAGGGGTATAAATACTTTTTCAAGGCACTGTATTGTGCTCTGTAACCCTTTATACTGCCCTGTGATGTCATATTCTGCCCTGTAACACTAAATACTGCCCTATAGTGTCGCATTCTGCCTTGTA